TTTCCAGAACATAAGCCCTGGAATGATATGGCTCCATTGCAGTTTGTAATGGTTAAGGAGATTCTGATATGAAAATGGAATTGAAAGAGCCCCAACCACAAAAGGGGAGGGAGGGAAGCCACTCCAGTCCTACGAGAAATGCATTTTGATGTGCTATCAAGTATGGAATCTTCTCTGAGATAGATTGCATATTAAGCCACTAAACAGAACTCACTAAATTTAAGGAAACTGAAACTGAAAACATATTAAGCATCTCATCCAACCTAACTATGAAACTAGACATTAATTATAACAACAACAACAAAGAAAAACTAGAAAAAACAAAAACATGTGGCAACTAAACAGCAGGCTACTAAATAACCAATGGGTCAATGAGGAGTCCGAGAGGAAATTTAAAAATATATGGTGTTGGGAAAATTGGACAGCCACATGCAGAAAAATGAAATTGGATCATTTCCTTACACCACACACGAAAATAGACTCAAAATGGATGAAGGACCTCAATGTGAGAAAGGAATCCATCAAAATCCTTGAGGAGAACACAGGCAGCAACCTCTTCAACCTCAGCCACAGCAACATCTTCCTAGGAACATCGCCAAAGGCAAGGGAAGCAAGGGCAAAAATGAACTATTGGGATTTTATCAAGATCAAAAGCTTTTGCACAGCAAAGGAAACAGTTAACAAAACCAAAAGACAACTGACAGAATGGGAGAAGATATTTGCAAATGACATATCGGATAAAGGGCTAGTGTCCAAAATCTATAAAGAACTTAGCAAACTCAACACCCAAAGAACAAATAATCCAATCAAGAAATGGGCAGAGGACATGAACAGACATTTCTGCAAAGAAGACATCCAGATGGCCAACAGACACATGAAAAAGTCCTCCATATCACTCGGCATCAGGGAAATACAAATCAAAACCACAATGAGATATCACCTCATACCAGTCAGAGTGGCTAAAATTAACAAGTCAGGAAAAGACAGATGCTGGCGAGGATGCAGAGAAAGGGGAACCCTCCTACACTGTTGGTGGGAATGCAAGCTGGTGCAACCACTCTGGAAAACAGCATGGAGGTTCCTCAAAATGTTGAAAATAGAACTACCCTATGACCCAGCAATTGCACTACTGGGTATTACCCTAAAGATACAAATGTAGTGACCTGAAGGGGCACATGCACCTGAATGTTTATAGCAGCAATGTCTACAATAGCCAAACTATGGAAAGAACCTAGAAGTCCATCCACAGATGAATGGATAAAGAAGATGTGGTATATATACACAATGGAATACTATGCAGCCATCAAAAGAAATGAAATCTTGCCATTTGCGACGACGTGGATGGAACTAGAGGGTATCATGCTTAGCGAAATAAGTCAATCGGAGAAAGACAACTATCATATGATCTCCCTGATATGAGGGAGAGGAGATGCAACATGGTGGGTTAAGGGGGGTAGGAGAAGAGTAAATGAAACAAGATGGGATTGGGAGGGAGACAAACCATAAGTGACTCTTAATCTCACAAAACAAACTGAGGGTTGATGGGGGGAAGGAGGTTTGGAGAGGGGGGTGGGGTTATGGACATTGGGGAGGGTATGTGCTATGGTGAGTGCTGTGAAGTGTGTAAACCTGGCAATTCACAGACCTGTACCCCTGGGGATAAAAATATATTATATGTTTATAAAAAATAAAATTTAATTAAAAAAATATTGTTGCTCAAAAAAAAAAAAATATATGGAGACAGATAAAAATGGAAACAAACCAAATAAAAATCTTTGAGATGAAGCAAAAGGAGTTCTAAGAGGGGATTTCGTAGCAGTATAGGCCTACCTCAAGAAAAATAAGCATGTCAAGTAAAACAATTTAACCGTACACCTCATGGAACTAGAAACAAACAAAGCCCAAAGTTAGTAAAAGGAAGGAAATAATAAAGATCAGAGAAGAAATAAATGACATAGAGACCAAAAACAAAAACAAAAAAACAATAGAAAACATCTGTGAAACTAAGACCTGGTTCTTTGAAAAGTGGATAAACCTTTAGCAAGACGCAAGGAAAACTGAGCTCTCAAATAAAATAAAAAATGAAAAAGAAGTTACAACCAACACCACATAAATACAAAGGATTTTAAATGACTACTATGAAAAGACTTATATCAACAAATTTGACAACCTAACAGAAATGTTCAAATTCCTTGCAATATGTGTTCTCCCAAGACTAAATCAGGAAGAAATAAAAGATATTAGATCAATTATTAGTAACGAAATCGAACTGGTAATCAAAAACCTCCTAACAAACAGATGTCCAGGACCAGAAGGCCTCAGAGATAAATTTTACCAAACATTTTGAGAAGAATTAATGCCTATCCTCCTCACACTGCTCCAAAAAAAGAGAAGAGGAAGGAATTTGTTCTATGAGGCCAGCATTACCTTGACACCAAAACCAGACAAAGACACTAGAAAGGAAGGACAATGTACTGGAAATCCCAGCTGCAGCATACAAGCCAGGAAAAGAAATAAAAGGTAGCCAAATTGGTAAGAAATTAGTATAATTGTCACTATTTGCAAATGGCATGATACTATACATAGAAAACCCTAAGACTCCACCAAAAAAAAAATTATAACTTATGAATTCAGTGAAATTGCATGATACAAAATATGCAGAAATATATTGCATTTCTATACAATAATAATGAAGTATCAGAAGGAGAAATTAAGAAAAGAATCCCATTTACAATTGCAGCAGAAAGAATAAGATGCATAGAAATAAATTTAACCAGAGATGAAAGACCTATACTCTGAAAACTGTAAAATATGGATAAAAAAATTGGAAATGACACAAACAAATGCAAAGATTTACCATGCTTATGGAATGGAAAAATTATTGCAGTTAAAATTTCCATACTACCCAAAACTATCTACAAATTCAATGCAATCCCTATCAAAATACCAATAGTATATTTTATAGAATAAGAATAATCCAAAAATCTCAATTGAAACAGAAAAGACACCAAACAGCCAAAGTAATTTTGAGAAAAAGGAACAAAGTTGGAGATATCACAACTCTAGATTACAAACCATATGACAAAGCTATTATAAACCAAACAGTATGGTACTGGCACAAAAACAGACACAGGGATCAATGAAACAGAATCCAGAGCCAGGAAATAAACCCACACTTATATGGTCAATTAATCTATGACAAAGGGCCAAAGGGGGAAAAACAGTCTCTTCAACAAATGGTAATAGGAAAACTGGACGGCTACATACAAAAAAAATTACACTGGACCACTTTTTTCTACCATAGAGAAAAATAAACTAAAAATATATTAATAACTTAAAGATGAGACCTGAATCCGTAAAATTCCTAGAAGAAAATATTAGGCAGTAATCTCTTAGACATTGGTCTTGGCAACATTTTTATGGATACGTCTCTTCAGGCAAGGGGAAAAAAGGCAAAAATAAACTATTGGGACTACACCAAAATAAAAGCCTCTGCACAGTGAAGGAAACCAACCACAAAACAAAAAAGCCACCCAGTTCATGGCAGAAGATATTTGCAAATGATATATACCATAAGGGGTTAATATCCCAACTATATAAAGAACTTATACAACTCAACACCAACCCCCCCACAAATAATCCAATTAAAAAATGAGCAAAGGACTTGAATAGAATGGACATTTCTGCAAACATATAGATTTCCAGGAGACACATGAAAAGATGCTCAATATTACTAATTATCAAGGAAATGCAATTCACAACACCAATGAGTTATCACCTGACACCAGTCAGAATGGCTGATATCAAAAAGACAAGAAACAATAAATATTAGCGAGGATGTGGAAAAAAGGGAATTCTCATGCACTGTTGGTGGGACTGTTAATTGGTACAGCCTCTATGGAATATAGTATGGAGTGTTCTCAAAAAATTTTAAGAGAGAGGGGTACCTCGGTGGCTCAGTGGGTTAAAGCCTCTGCCTTCGGCTTAGGTCATGATCCCAGAGTCCTGGGATCGAGCCCCACGTCGGGCTCCCTGCTCAGCAGGGAGCCTGCTTCCCCCCCTCTCCCTCTGCCTGCCTCTCTGCTTACTTGTGATCTCTGTCTGTCAAATAAATAAATAAAATCTTATAAAAAATCTTTAAGAGAGAAATACTATATGACCCAGTAATCCCACTCTTGGTATTCATCCAGAGATAACAAAAACACTAATTTAAAAAAATATATATGCAGTCCTATGTTTACTGCAGCATTATTTATAATAACCATGATATAGAAGCAAACTAAGTGTCTATCAAGAGACGAAAAGACAATGTAATGTGTGTGTGTGTATATACATACATATCCATATTATATATATGTATATGTCTATATATTTATATTTATACATGCACAATGAAATATTACTCATAAAAAAAGAATGAAATTTTTCCATTTGTAACAACATGGGTAGAGCTAGAGGGTATTATGCTGAGTGAAAAAGAAAAAGACATTCCAAATAATTTTACTTACAGGAGTCACCTAAAAAACAAACAAATAAACAGAAAACAGAAATAGACTCACAGATACAGAGTACAAACTAGTAGTTGCCAAAGGGAAAGGAAGAAGAGTGTGTGTTTTGGCGGGGGCAGGGTGGGGGAGGATGAGTGAAACAGGTGAGGGGTTTAAGAGGTACAATATGTAAGTCATGGTGATGAAAATTACAGCATAGGGAATAGAATCTATAATATTTTAATAACTTTGTATGATGATACACTTAATGTGGTGAGCATTCATAATGTACAGAATTTTCACATCACTACACTGTACACATGAAACTAATATTGTACATCAACTATACTCAGTAAAAAAATTTTTTAAAAACTGATTAATATCAATTCTTAAGTGATCATTAACTTTGTATCATCCTTAATTATTTTGATCTCCTGTATATCTCTAATGTTGTTGGTGTCAGCTTTTATAAATTAGTATTGTTTCAAATCTACTACCATTTTTTTCTTCCAGAGAACAGATTTAATGCATTGCTTTTTGGGACAAAAAGCCAAATTTCTAAATCTCAAATAGCAAGAGATGAGGCACATTGGTGGAGAACAACTGTCTGATCCTAATAATGGATTCACCTAATCCTGGGGCCAGTGAAAAGGACGTAAGCTGCTTCAGGAATTTAAAGAGGTATATTTACATGTACATTCAAAGATTTCAGTAAAAATGCTTCTCATCCTAATCCTTTGCATTCTGTGTAGGAGCAGGGATTTTATATGTGGAAGAAATAATGAAGAAGCTTAAAAAAAAAAAGACATTTCTGTGGATACATATCCCCAAGAATAACCACCATACTACTACCAAGTAGCCAACTCATGAGTCCAGACTGGAAGAAGACAGCTGAATTTAATTTTATATGGCATTTCCCATGATATTATATTTGCTTCTGCCAAATGGATATGGACATTTTTAGCTCCGATTTTCAGTGGTTTGTTTTTTCATCTTATCTGTGCTCTGATGCACAATTTCATCTGCTCACACCTGCATAACCAGCATGTTGGCTGGGTAGAAAACTGCCACGGCTCCTACTACCACATGGGACTCTAGTACTAAATGCTTAATGGGCCAGTTGCTTCCAAAGAAAGCAAAAGATTCATCAGGATTTAGACTACCTTTATGGTTGCCTAGGACAAATAAAAACACCTTTGTTCTGTTTATGCCAACATTTCTTCTCTAATTCTTTTATTAGAAGCTTTACCCCTTATTAGATGGACTACTTATTTGGTAACTTTCACTAGTACTGTTGTGCCTCATGATTTGAAGAATTTCTCAAGAATGATTTATGGGAAGAAAATATCCAAGATTCAGCAATCTTTTGTAGATATTGATGAGAGACTTAAAATACTCTTAAAAGCCATATTCAGTTCCTAATTTCACTTTAAAACTAGTCCTTTAGTTTTCATCTTCAGCTATGAATACAAAAGAAACAGCACCTCTGGTTCTGTAGAGGTTCATGAGAAGAGCTCTTATCTGCCTCTGCGGATTTAACATCTTCAACAGCCACACGGCAAAAATTTCAGTGAAAACAGAAGTGTACCCCCTAAACCGGAACCAAGTTCTGGATAATGGAGACATATATGTATTCATTCATGAATACAAACAGGTCTCAACTTCAATGTATAATGGTGAATATAAAAGTACTTTTTTCATGAATCTAATGGTATTATAATGAAGTCTGACAAATTGAGAAATCACACAAATATATACAAAGTTGCAGCTGTGATAAGCGCTTCCCAGGAAAGTTACAGGGTGCATTGAGAATACCTAACAGCAAGATCTAAGCTAGACTGTGGGTGGATAAGGGTCTGCATCCAAGTGTACGTGCCATCTGAGAAGTAAAAATGTGCAAGAGTTGAACAAGGAAGATTAAGATTGTAGGAAAGTCTAGTTTACTATGGCAAGAGGTATGATATTCTGAGAGATGGCAAGAAGACTGGAATCTGAATAAAAAAATAAAGATAAAGGGGAGAACAGTGACAAAGGATGAATTTGGAAGGGTAGACAGAGCCTGTCTCCTACAGTAAGAGCAGGAACTTTTATTGAGTTCTATTTCTATGCCAGCTATCATTCTGAACACTTTACTTGTATTTACGCATTTAATACAACAACCTTATAAAGGAGGTGTGTTAACATCCCCATTTAGCTGATGATGGAACAGAGTCCGGAGAGGTTAGAGGTCAGCTAGCAAGTGGTTGAGCCAAGATTTAAAGCCAGGCACCTGTCTCCAGAGTCAACACTCTTCATCACTATTCTACACTGCCTCTCCACAATAGAAAAAGATTTAAAGAGTGCTAAGTGTGTGGCCTGCTTTATAGCGTTCTACCCTTCTGTACTGGTTCCTCCACAATGGACTAGATCCACTTAAAAACACAACTTATGGCAGATTGAATGAGTTAATACACATGAAGCACATAATACAGTGTTTGGCACATAATGAGTCCTATAAAGTGCCAAATAATAATGTTAACTTGTTGGTACTGTTATTCTCTTGGAAAGTGAATACTATAAGCTGTGTGTGTGTGGCATGGTTATATGTAAGTTTTTAGAAGACCACTAGCTACAATGGGAAGAGTGGGTTGGGGGGAAGGCATTTTTGGAACAAGAAGACCATAGTTGAAACTACTCAGCTGTCCAGGAGTAAAATAATGGTAGGGCAGCTAAGATGGAAACCTGAAGATGGAGACAAATGGTTGGACTGAAGAAATACTGAATCACTAGGATTTGTTGAGCATTGGTTATTGAAGATGGAGATCAAGGTGTTGAGTATGGTTATCCAGGCTAGGCAAGGAGTTTCCATCCACTGAGGTCGGGATTATTAGTACAGGCTTGGGAGAAAAGATTTTAAGTTCGCTCTTTAATCTGATGAGTTCAAGGACTTTTGACACATCCAAGTAGAGATATGTTAGTTGTTATTATTCTATGCTGCTTTATTACAAAACTAACACAAGCTATCTACAAGCTACAAATTTATCAGTCCTCTGTACCAGAAACTTTAATAGACGTTTTACATCACTTATTTCCGTAACAATGCAAAACTATTAACCATTCCTTACATTTACAGTCACATGTTCACTTCCCTGGAAACTCTATAGCCAGCTTTACTTCTTAAAACTGTAAGAATATTTGGTTACAAACCAAAGGGAAGGAGTCAAATAAGGTTCTTGAATATAACAATGAAGACTTGGAGCTCACAGTATAATACACAGACTTTAAACAGGCAGTTTCAATAGTGATGCGTGTCCCGAAGGAGGAGTTGAATATGTTGTGGGAATATGTAGTGGGGGGCCTAGACTCATTATGGAGATGGGGACATCAGGGAAAACCTCCTGGAGAAAGTGATACTTGATCTGGGACCTAAAAGACAAAGTAGCTCTTTGCCATGTGAAAGGGTTGGGGTAGGAGAAGAGAAAATGGTAACCAGGTCAGAAATACCAGGTTTGTCTGCAGATTCAGATTCCATAGAGTTCTGATTCCTGGCATGTTCAGGAACTGAATGAAGGTCAGGTTGACAGAAGCAGAAAAATAATAAATAAATAAGTAAATAAATAAATAAAGGCAGCCACAAACGAGGCTAAAGAGGTAGGTAGGGCTGGATCGTCTCAGAACTTACAGCCACTTGAGAGACCTCAAATGTTTTCCTAATGACTATAATGGGGGCATGAAGCAAATAATTTCAAACATTTTAGGGATTTCCTCTGCCTATGGTAGATCTTAGCTTTATGGTAAGCTCTTTCTTGGCTTCCAGCTCTTCTGAAATATGCTAATTACACCTAATAGCCTTAATAGAATAGAAAAAGATACAGAACTGCATATTCCTTATGCATATCTATTTACCTACTCACATACCTACCTATTATCTGCCTGTTGCCTTCTCTTTGTTTTGTTTTAGGTTTTGTCTCTTTGATTTTGCTTTCCAAAGAAACATCTGCAATCTCTGTGGATTTTGGTCTTCATCTCACTGCCAATCACACTCCTCCTCTGCTCCACTTTACATGTTTTTTTTTTCCTGTTGTATATCATCAATTGTAACAAAATTGGTGCTCACTGGGAATGTTCATTTTCATTCAAAAGAGGAACATGCACACCTGTTCGTTAGGAAAATGTTATCTTTAAATTAGCAAATCTGAGTCTACACCAGCAAATATGGCTTTAAAGTTTTGGGAAAATGTTGCATTTCACTCAGATACCTGATGGAAGTCTACATTTGGCTAACACACAAATATGCATGCAGTATATGCCTCATTGTTATACATCGACCATGCCTAGAATCTCCATAGAGAGTTTTGTCAAAATGTAATCAGCCCAAAGCACAGCATCCTGCCTATGACAGGAATTGAGCATGTGTCAGCATGAGCCATGAGACAATATACAATCACAGTTCAGAAATGAGCATTTATGTTATTGAATGCTGCAAATGCACAGGCCTCAGATTTCTTTTCTCAATCATGAAAAATCCTACGGAAGTATGCATGTTCAAATAATAGTGATAGAAATATAGTTAAGTTTTGGTTATTTACATTCTCGCTTAAAAAAAATACGAGCCCTATGAACTGAGAGCCTCTCCTTACATTTTCTCAAGTGGTAACACACTTTTGAATGCCTACATTCCCCATATTCCCACTATGACAAAAAGGAAGACCAACTGCTGACTTTTACTTATGTAAGCCAAGAGAATGTGTCTTCTCCATGTTTACTTTGCCACCAACCCCACAAACCCAAGAAGAACAGTGGATAAAACAAATGAAAATAGGGAACTCCTTTTTAAAACATTTTTGAGTATCAATGTCAACATAGAAAGTCTAAGTTCTAGGACCTTTGATGACTCTAATTAACTTGGGAGAATGTTCCGAAGTTACTCTCTTTAGCTTCAAGACTTCTTTCAAGGACTCCACTTCGGAGGAAAGAACTTATCCCTGAGTCTTCTTAGCAGCTTGCAGTGTTCTTGTCGTGACAGTCCCTCATGAACCAAAAGTAAAGGTGAAGGAATTTGATCTGTAGTTAACAGACCTTTTAATGTTTACTAAAATGGACTTTGTTGGTATTTTTAGAGAATCCTTTTTAAGGTTTTTTGTTTTTTTTTTAAGATATGACTGAGTCAAATATGGCGGCTCAGAGCAGTATTCCACATCAACGGAGCTCTGGAGACCTCACGTTTTATATAAAAACAGATGCAGTGTTGATCGTGGAGGAGGGTGAACACATGTAGCAGTTTCCAGATGCATAATAAAGAGGACAGACAGGATCCACCCCATCCTGATGGGATGCTGACAGGATATTACTGCAAAAGTGTGTTCAGCCCTCGTGGACCCTAGACTTATGGTCACACATATGAGTTCCAATCTAAGGAGCGAGCTTAGCATTCTATTACCAGCCATGATTGAAACAAGCTCTGCTGCAGTCTAGCCTAGGAGTTGGTCTACTACCTGGGAAGTCAAGATTAAGTCTTGTAACTTGTTTTCAACCTTCCTCTGAGACAATGGTTCTTTTTCAGAAATATAAGCCAGCCTGGGGAAGACCAGTGTGTAATCGAACCTAAAAATCTCCATCTTACTCCAGATTCAGTATTTGAACCTACATAGCTGCCAGAGTGACAAGTCCAGTGCAAGGTCATCAAACCTCATGATCTGGCTGGTAAAACTATATTCTGATTAAAACATATTGTATAATGAACCATCAAGAACCATAGATAACCCTGAAATCAAACCAACTTTATACAATGTTTACCATATAATAGAGATTCAGTAAAAATTACTTATTAATTAAACTTCCAAGACCTTTTGGGAATTCATTCCAAAACCATATTTCCTAAACCATCAAGTATCAGCCCTGACCTCCTGGGTCTACCATAACATAGGATGTTTTTCAGAATTGACTTTTTATGATCATTGCAGAATATGTAACCTTAGTACTTTTATCTCAAGATAGATAAAAGACTAAACTCACCAAGTGACATACGGTCAGAACACTCACTGTGTTACTTCAAACCAAGCTGACCCATTACCCTTTCCTGAACCAGCCAGTATAATCTCTTCGGTGTGACCCACTTGCCACTCCAGAGAGCAGTAACTGCCGAACCTATGCCTACTGACCTACCAATCTATCCTAACTCCTGACTCTCAGAGTTGCATGAGATCCATGGGTCCCCTCCATGGGATGTCTAGTCACTCAGCTTCTTATTGAGTCCTCCAGTAAAACGAAGCTAGCTCTTCAGAGACTGCTCATTGCACCTTAGCCTGGGAGAATATCCTCCTCAT